TGTTTCTTTAGTCAGGGTCCTTGCAGATTCCAAAGTTGTATAAGAATACATCAAAGTGGACAAATTTTGTTAAGATCCCCTTTAATATTTGAAGAAATCAGTAACAAATATATTTTGATTGTTGCTTACAAAATAAAATAAATTTACAGTCTATGTCTCCTGAGGTCTTTTTGGCACTGGGTGGAATTGACAGAATAACATTTGACAGTGCTCTAGAAATCTCACACAAGGATATGTTTCCCTTTGTAGTTTAAACTACCACAAAAAACATCAGTGTGATAACAAAACTTCACAAATGTAAAATGACTGCCATTAATGAGTGGCTACCTCATTAGTGAGTAATACAGAAAAAATGTTGACATATTTTATTAAAACTATTTGTCACAATTTAATATTGTAAGCTCAGTATCTTGTTAACATATTATACTTTCAGTATTTCAGAGGAGTATATTTAAGAAGAAAAAGGAGGGAATTTAAATTTAGACTTTCATCATTTTTTTAAAGGGTACATTCCCCCAACAGTGCTGAGATTGTCTGGGAATTGCCTCCTGCAAACTTCACTAAACTTTTAGCTAAGACAGCCCATACAAGCTTTATAATGTCTTCAAAGCAAAACAAGAAAAGTAGCCATAATGTGACTTTAATATGAGAACATAAGTAATAATTTTGTCATTGTTTTCTCTCATATTTTTTAAATTAACTTAGAAGTATCCAGGTTTCTGATAAAGACAAAAATTTGACTAACAGCAGTTTTCATAGATGATCTCCTCCTTCAACCTGTTTCTAACCTGATGTACATAAGTAACTGCCCTCGTTAATATTCGCTCGTGGTACGGCACCATACTGGGTACAACAAGGAACGTGCTAAATGTATGGAGACAAACGAAGATTTAATTCTTGTCTCTACCTTATGTGAAAATATGGTAAGAATGTCTCTACAGCTTCATTAAAGGAGGAATTTACTTGGGGGCTTAGCCTCTGCTCGAGGTGGTATGAATAATGTGGTAAACCAAATTACTATCCTGTTTGAACAATTCTAGGCTCTTCTTGGTTGCCTAATGGAAAGTTACTAGAAACTAAAAGTGGAAATGGCTTAAATTCCCACTGTGTTTCACAGTCTTTTCTTTTCTTTTTTTTTTTTTTTTTTTTGGTGGAATAAGAGGTATTCTGAGCATTCTTACTTGCCCTGTGGTTTCTTCTTATAAATATACATATAGTGATGGTATATTTTATGTAGGACATTTAATATGTATTAATTTAATTTTTAGGATACAGCAGCTAACCACTTAAAATATAAGCATTGAAGTTAGTAGTAATTTTCCTTTTGCCTGATTTAAACTTGTGTAAAAGCTGGGTTTTTTTTAATACATGATTTTTCCCTTTACATAAATAAGGTTCTATGACTTCATTCACGGATACTGTTCATTAGAGCTAGTCAAGATTTTTTTGTACAATATGCCCACCGAAGGCCTCAGTAATCCAAGGACTATTTTCAGCATTTGAAACTATTTTTTCTTTTTTTCTCCTTCACGTTAGTCTCCTGAAAAATATCTCCTGAGTGAATCCAGTGACCATGAAGGCTTACACCATGCCTGCCTTTTGCTCCTCTTTGATCACCTCATCTTCCTGCACTTCCCAGAGTCACATACCACATTCTTCCACTTGCCACTTGGTTCATTTTGGAGACATTCCCAATTTCAAAACCTTACCAAAATCCCTCCTAGCAAAAACCTACATTTTTGTAGATTTGGAGTCGAGTCAAAATTAGGAAGCCCCAAGAAGAGACTCAATGAACACACTTGTCTTGGAATGTACAGCTATTTTAGCAGCAGCCTGGTGGCCCAGGCCCGGTTAAGCTTTGAAACATTTAATCACAAGCTCAAAAGCCATTTCAGGTTTCTGTGTGTGTGTGTGTGTGTGTGTGTGTGTGTGTGTG